CTTTTAACCTCCCCATCTTCGTCGCCTGCAACAAAGAGAACTGCTGGAAAGCAGATGGCACCCTCTTTAGGGGCTATCAGCCCTTCCCCTTCCCAAATACATTTATATCCTCAGCCTCAATCACCGGTATGGAACCCAGATGACGACGACGATCTGTTAAGTAGCGGTCAAGTTTCTCCTGTGGGATATGGGTCGGGCTTTGGATTCGACTCTGGTACTGAAGATCCAAGAACACCAAAGGCATGGCCAAACCATTATTTTACTGGTCAAACAACAAAGCTGGGATCACCATTTGGCTCACGAATTTCTGTCGGAGCTTCGTCTACAGGCCGGAATGGTGATGGACTTCCTCACAAACGAGGTAGTGAAGCGACCTATTCATCAACATCATCCAGTCATTTTCAGGACGATGGTGTATTTAAGTTCACAGAAGCTTTCACATCTCTCGGTAAAGGTCACCCCAGCAAGCGACCGTGGCCGGCTAACCGTATCCCGCACGCCAGCCGAGTCTCGAGTTGGTCTGACCCAGTCAGTGCTAGAGATGACGCTCAAGGTGTAAACAGTCATATGCGTAACGGCAGTGATGCCAGTATAACTGATGACAGTGAGGATCGTCTGAGCAAAGATGAAGAGACGAGATATATGTACGATTCTCGTCCGCATCATGTACGGTCTTCCACTGTTAGACCCGCTCCCAATGGTGACACAGGTGATCAGGCACAACGCAGCAGTTCGTCGAACCGAGATCCGACGGAAATCCTTAGACAGAATCGTCCAACAAGTCGACAGCGTGAAACTTACAGCAAAGCTAGTAGATCCAAGTCACATCATTGGGAGGATAATATCGCTGAAGAGGAACTAAGTACGACGAGGAAGATGTTGGGATTGGTACCCAGACGGAGAAGGAGTTTCCATTCCTTATCAATGTATCGTCCCGACATAAGTAAACTCGACGAAGAAACAGTCACTGACACCCTTGTGGACCGCCGAACAGTGATAAAGGTGCTACCCATCGATCGAATGAGAATTGACGTCGAACTTTGCGGGTACTATCTCATTATGTGGAGAAGAACAGCGCATCTACTGAATGTCATTGCAACGCTGCAGGTTCGTATCTTTCTCCTCCGTTGCAGATCCATTTCTTTATTGTTCACGTAGATTATCACTTTCCGGCTATCCGAGACCAACGCAAATATGCGCGAACACTATGACGCTCATCTTCCCGACATAGCCGAATTGGAATCCCACCTCAAATCTATCGCAGAAGTCGATCTCGAAAGCGCAAACACCTTGAAGATCAGTCAGGCCACGAAAACGCTTTGGTACGAGGCTGAGCAGTTTTTTGTTCCAGACTTGTGGCATATTGCTAGTCCTCCACGCCAGAAAGTTCTGGCCATGCGTGAAAAGATATTTGGAGCAAGTCGACGGCTTCCGGAAGGTGTACACGGTGCTCACGGACGTTTCAATCGACTCCAGTGGACTTTGGACGGTCGAGAACGGCTGGTAGATGCTGAGGGTAAGACAGAGAGCGAAGTCGCAGAGGAAAGAGGGATTGACGCGGAAGGCGCCTTCATTAGTCCGCCCACGGAAGACGTGGAGGACGTCGTGGAACACTCCAACATCAAACCAATGTGGCTCCTCAGATTCTTCACAAGCTGGGGCGCAAACTGGGGCGCAACGAAAGGAAAGGATGTAAAGGCGGAGCCGTCTGCTTCAGTTTCCGGGTTGGTTTCAGAAGAGATACCAGCGCGAGTCAGTGAACCGATTAAAATAGAGAAAGCGGCATCGTTGTAAAAAGGGACTCTGGAATTATCTTATTGTTTATGTTTATGTACTTGCCTTTGGACATACCAACCTATGGAATGTCAATGCCACAGTGTCCGAAGCTCCGATAGGGTTATACTGGTTACTTGAATCCCACAAAGTGAATCTCTGTCACTAGCAACATCTTCTTCTTTTGAGTAGGGCTAGCGAGGATTTTGAACAAAAACCCTATATTCCTTCTTCCAGCGTGGAACAAAAAAATCTGCACATTCGTCCGATCTAAAATTTTCAATCCTGAAGAAATCCAAGGATTATTGGTCAGACTCAACGAGAGGATACATAGCTGCATACTTACGTATCCTCCGTGATAAGGAGCTTGAGGTCGAGCCTTCGAAGGATATTTCCAAAAATAAGATATAGTTCACACCATGCTGGACTATAAAATAATCAATGAACAAAGCCTTGAACAAAGCACCAGTTCTTCAGACATGCAATAAATACTTGAGTCCTAGACTAGAGGAAGAGGTGTTCAAATTAATGCTCCCATATGATGCACTGATGAGACTTAACGCTCACCGCATACGAGGTCCTTTGCTGAACGGTGCTAAATCGAGCATCATTTGACTGGAATCCTCGACTAGCCACCGGTCTGGATTGAATGTATACGGATCTGGAAATATATTTGGATTCATGTGCAAGAACATTGTACTCATTTTGACAATCGACCAACAATCGACTGCAGCTTGTTTTCACCATTAGCTGGATTACAAATCAAATAATCACTCACGCCTGAAGGGACCTTCAAGCCACCTATCTCAGGAGTTGATAGGCCTACAACCCGAGGACAGGGATGGATGACCCCTATTGAGAATCGAAGCACTTCTTTACAGGGTTTTCCGCAAACCTTGGCTTACACCGATTTTTTTACAAAAATAAATATTTCGTAATTCTAATTGAATCCACAGCCACAAACCCACGAGCCGCGGCTCGGATGCAGCTCCGGGTCACATTACGAGGCTCTCAATACCACTTCCATACTCTTCTCCAACCGTTTAGCATACTCCCCGCATACGTCCAATGCCACTATGAGCCTTTATAAACATCATGCATCTGGTACACAAAAAGAACTTGTAGGACCAAAGGAAACTGCATAACTCGACAAACTGAGCTAATAAGCGCCAGGCGCCTAGAGCACTTACGAAATATTTATTTTTGAAAAAAAAATCGACATATGCCAAGGTTTATGTAATAAATGCAGTCTGCGAGAATATTATGACATAAGCAAGGTCAAAGCGGCGTTTCGCATACCAAATAAGGCAACTTTGCAAGCACAGCATAACTCATTGGGCGATCTTTATCAAGCCAAGTCCCAACAGTGCACGCGTTGCCGACCGTATCGCTGCCAGCCCCGACAAAGATAAATCCTTCATGCACTAGTGATTCCCGTGACGGGCGCTCCTGATCTTTGAGTTCCAGCAGATGATGGAAGACCGTTTCGTGTTCAACCGTTAACAAAGCATCGGGATTGTCGATTTGGCGCTCGAAGCCGACATTGATATTCACATAACTTTCCATATCGGGTAACAACCACAAGACGAACTTTTGCGGGGCGCTTAAGACAAGGAAAGGAAAGTGGCGCTCAAACCAGTTCCTTTTCACGTGTTTCTGGATGTCTCGTAGGATGGGATGAGAGAAGCCGGGGCTATCCAGGGTGTCAGGTGATTCAGCAAAGCAGTAGGAAGCAATAATGTCCGTGGTAAGTGCCCGGTATGTAACGGCCATAGACACAGCTGTGCTTGGGGAGCTATATTCTTTGGCGAGTATAGCTAGCAATTTATCGATCTGAGAACAATTCAGAAGCCCAGGACTTTACAAGCACGGCAGCGACACGCACCTTTTGCTGAATCGTGTACTCAAGGGACAACACCGCCCTTCGGGAGAACAATGGCTGCAATAGGTTTCTTCGCTGCCTTGCAGCTTCCGGATCACAGAAGCTAAAAGAGCCTTCGGGGCATGGGCATTGAAGGCTTGGTAAAATCCAGGTTCCTTTACCAGTGTCGACCCGTATGTATAAATATCATGATACGCTTGACTGTAGTTGAAATGAAGCTGTTGGAATGTAAGGCTCTGTGTGAAGATACTCAAGCTTTTACTGACGTTGGGACCAACCCTGATCACTGGACCTTATCGATTCGAACATATTTTAGGGTTTATTTAAATAATATTGTTATTTCAAAGTTTACAACTTATGGAGTCGATCAATTTCAGTGACTACGCCCCCTCGTCTAACAATGTTATGGTAAGCTTCGTGAGAGCTGCCAGAATTGGTCATTATGCAGAGGATGGAAGAATATTCTGTAAAGGGCCACTACAAGAATGCAACAAGAACAGTGTAGAAAAATGCAAGATAGAGATAATACATGCTGGGGAAGGAAGACAGATGGGAAACTGGACACTGCTCACTGGCCAATTTAACTTGAAGGAATTTCTGAGGATTTCCCATGTCTCACGAGTGAAGCCCAAATTTCAAGGTTGAATTAGATGGGCACACCCTGTGACGAGCTTATTTTGAATTCATTCACAAAGAGGGAAAAAAACGGCCAGGAGGTCCCTATTGGACCAGCCAAGGCCTACCCTACGTGCATTCAAGATTACGTCCAGAAAAGTGACTTGCACGCTCGACAAGTTGAACAGGCTTCCCGCCATGCCGTCTTACCGAGCTCACGTTCCACACGAGCTCGACAGACACAGATTGCACCAATTCAGTGGCATTAATTATGCAATCCCAAGTGTACATTGATGGACACAGATATTGGTCCCTCCTTGCACCTGAGGATATCAGCCAAGTGATTTAAACCCCACTCAGTCGTATTGCCAGTAACAGTCCAACCCACATTTTTCCATTGGACAACAGCCTGCGTTTGGCCTGCGTCTCAAGTGCTCTCAGAGGCCATTCAAAGCAAGCTTATAGCATGCAGTCAGAGTTGACTCAGAGACTTAGTGTAGGACTCATATAAATACTGTATATTGATCCTGAGCGCTATCAAGCAGAGCTTTTACCTCTTACCAATACATAATACTTATTTTGACTCTCAAAATGGCGCAATAGTGGGTCTCTAATTTGGACGCAGTTACATTCATGTTCAAATACTTAGTATGCATTATTCGTACACAATTTCTCACTCTCGCTCTGAAAAATTTTCCAAAATAAATCAAGAAAACCTTTCTATCTGCATTGTCCCTGGCAGGAGTCGAGCCTGCGTCTTCACGGATTGCTAAGCGGAGAAGCACTGCCACAACGTGATGATCTAACCACTAATCGACGGGGACATAGTTTATCAGTTTAACTATGGGTACATAAGTTTCCGAATCTTGGAAAAATAGAATGTAAATCGGTTGGTACTTTCCTCCGCGGCCTAGTCTTTGTAGTTAAGGATGTCTACAGATAATAAGGGGTACCTGCTAGTTCACCATGAACACGAGCGCATGGAATTACTAATTATCATCGAGAACCATCGAGATAATGAAATTCTATGATATTTTTGTTAATAGAAAGGGAGACCAGAGATCAGACTACTATAGACGGAGGAGTAATTGATATCGATAAAGAGATGGACGTCAAGTATCCCACTCATCTTCCTTGTTATATAGGTCTGACAAGTGGTCTAGTTGAAAAACTTTTTCTGAATTACACAACTCCCAGAGAGAGAACCGAAAGCTAAGGTCTAACTAACATGCCCGGAAAACAACATCGATTACTTGTACTACTTTACATGCACACTGAAGCCACAATAAAGATATTAGAACTGGTCCAGGTCTAAGGTAGTAACTTGGTGTTCGCGTTATTGATTATTTTCGGACTGCTTTGCCCTGGCTTTTGCGGATGGAACGCTTGCGCTCACGCTCGAGGATCTGAAATGAGATAGGTTAAATGTGTCAAACAACAAAAGACAGAGTATTTAATACCTTTTGTTGTTCAGCAGAACTCAATTTGGATATCCTCTCATCTTCAGCCTTGCGTTTCGCGGCCTTCTGATCTTCGCGCGCTTGTTCCAACTGAAAGTGTGTAATGAGTCAATCCAGATTCCGAATCATATCATTCTGAGCGAACGAACCTCTTCCTTCTTTTCTTGCTCGGCTTCAACCTTTAGCGTCTTCTCAAACGCTTCTCTAGTCTTCTTCAATTTTATCTTGGTCTCTGGGCGGAGCGAAACCTTGGAAAGGGCATCGACAAAAGGAAAGAGCGCAGCAACCAAGGCAGAAGGATCAGAGGCATGAGACGGCGATGGGCAAATTAAATTGAGTATAACATGCTTTTCGGGCGTAGAAACGGAAGTGGGCCGTTGACGAGGTTGATCTGTCACCTATGGAAGACATATTTTAGAAAGACGAAGGATAAGACGGAGAAGGAAGCGGATACATACAGACAGGGAGCGGAAGTAAGGGGCAATTTTTGGATCCTTGAGTACATCTAGTATCGCGGTATTCTTGAAAATGCTTTCGGTTACATCCGCAAACTCTGAGCACAAAATCAGAATTACATGGTCTTTGGAGTTTACAGGCTATTTACCCGACATGACAGACAGGTTAGGTGGCAACAGAGTGTTATCCGAAGTCTTGGTAAAGGTCTGCAGTGCGACAATCTTATAAGAATTATTTATAAAGTTCGAAGCTCGACGCACCAAATCCCATCTGTTATCTCTAATATCCTTAAGCTCATCCTTGTCAACTACGGCCCAAACAAAGTCATGAGAAAGAGCGGAAGGAAATAGCGTAAAGTCCAATTGAAGGTCGTTCCTAGGGCTATACTGAAGATCGACCATAGACCAGACAGTCTGGTATATGGTTTGGAGAAAATCATGATACGGCCTCAGCTTGAAAATGGTGTGAAGTGACGCGACGGAGCGCCTCCCAGTCGAAAATATGAAGAAATCAGAGTGACCTTTACAATCGAGTCAACTTTATGGATGCTGACTAGATATTCAGAAAGCGAACATACCATCCCGAACGAGCCCCTTGACATGAGGGCTAGAAAACTGGGTTTTGAGCAGGTCCCGGTATACGTTTGCCCTGGTAAAGTGTCTGTTTTTCAAGTTTGTGTTCTGTATCAAGACGATTTACGCACCATTTCTCAGCTTTTTTGGCGTTTATGGACTGGCCAACGAAGAAGAAAGCCACGTAGAACAATAGGGCCCCTAGGAGGATGGCTTCCGTCTGGAAGTCTTGATGCGCTTACGCGTCAGTACTTGGTTCAAAAAAATTTACAATGAAAAAGCTGACAAGCTGGGCGGAATACAAGGAACTTCCAGCGGTATTCCACACCATCGTATTGTGCAGGAGCGTTGAATGGTGGAGGCGTGATTCGGCCCAAAATATTGACGAAGCTGGCCATGACGAGAAAAGCGAGACGCCCAATTCATGAGATGCCGAAACTACTCCGTGCCTTGCTCCGTGCTGTAGTAATCTAATCTAGAAGTTCTGTTCTCTTTCCACCATGAGCAACAGCTCGGAGGCTCAGTTACCAGAGTTCCCTGAGCTTTTAGTAAGTGTATGTTCTGTCATATCTGCACTACACTCTCAACTTTGCTCAGCCCGAACATAACCCCCCAACAAATTATGGGAAATTTGTCATTTCTGTGCTCAAACGAATGTCTCGAGGAGGCTCTGGAGAACAAAGCATTGACCAGGTTCAACTGCGTAGATGCATAATTCTGTCGTCCACGTATCTGGTGGGTAAAGACATTTTTCATCGCACTCTGCATCTCATTGGGTGATAGATTGCTGACACTTGCATGGACTCTGAGCGCGGCGTACAGACTTGGTTTCTTGGGTTTAGTCGTCTGATCGATGTTATGGTTGCACTCCATGCTAGAAGCGAATTGGACCTTGAAACAATGAATGCTGCTTCAAAAGCCTGCTCTGAATGCTGGAGTGTCGCGGGTGCTTGGAGAGGACTGGAAGAGTGTCGAGACGGTGTCAAGAAAGTTGCCGTGAGGCTAAAAAAGTTGCTCGACGAAAATGGGCGGACCTACGGTGGTGAAAGGGTCTATGCGCCATGACCCCTGTATCATTCATTGCATCTCTAATTAGGTATATGTATCTGTTTCTCTGTAATAATACATGTATGTAGCATAGCTTATACCACTTAATTCTTGTGCAACGGTATTTCCGGACTTTATGATACAAAAGTATGTCAAGATGAGCCGAACAGAAAGAGCCCCATAAAAAGAGGGGACGAAGGTAAGGAGACAGGAGTGTTATGACCAGTACCCCGACAATCGCAGATTTATAGCATCTGGCGGAGGCGTTCAACTTCAAGGTAGGGTGGTGGTAATAAATGCAGCTCGACGACGCGTCGACGCGAGAACGAAGGATCAAAAATTAGGCTGAATGAAACGTCGTCCTTCTCGCTCGGACTTTTCATTCAAGTTGAAGAACGATAACAGCGAGAGAAAGAAGCGCAATTTATTGGCCTCCGCTACCGTTCCTATGGCAGACTCTTGACGAGAAGAGAACACCCGGGAAAGACCGTAATTTGGACCGCGTAGCTTCCAGCTGTAATTCGAAACCAATTGCGATTGGATCTCGGGCTATCGGTTCTGATTACATGGTCTTCATCATCCAGTTTCTAGAATGGTCAGGTGCATTCGGGGTTGACGAGCTCTTCCATTATATACGAGTACGAATATGCAAAGAAGTGGGAGGCCGAAACCTATGGCTTGCTTTCCCAATATTCGAGCCCACCATACTTCTGAGGTTTCTCATCGTACAATTCACACCCTTTACGATAAGGGATTTCTCCGTATCTTGTCCATCCCCTCGTTTTCTTCGTGCTCATCTGTATTAGGTACCTCTTTGATAGCTCTCAAGTAGGAAAGCATCACCCAGTTCATACCCCGCATCTCCGTGTCATACCACCAATTGATAGCAATGGTAATTCCAGCCTGTTCGACCTGATGATACCAGCCTGATGAAAGCTCGTCAATGCAGTATAACAATTAGACGTGTTATGGTACCAACCAACTGGTATATACAGGGTTTCATTTTCAGACAGCGTGACGTGAATTGGGTGGGCTTCTGGAGGTAACCGCCCCTGCAGAAGAGAAGCCCAGCGAACGGGAGGGGTATCTTTCGAAGAAGGCTGCACGATTAACTCCGAGTCGTGAGGTTTCCGTGCGTAAGTCGCATGGGGATAGAAACGTTCTGAAGAAGCACGTTCAGAAAAGGCGTCAAATGAAAAAAAGCCATACCATGCAAACAATATCCGTCCGTGGGTGGAAGGAGTAAAAAATGCTTTTGACCGCGAACCACAGTGTATATATTTTCGTATGGGTCTATCATTGCAAATAAGCCGTGCTGCTATTATAAGCTCGAGCATGCACTCGCCACTGTGGATACTTGAGACACTGCTACCATCACCTATCCACAAATTTACAGCATCTGGTGCTCTGTCTGACAGTAAGAGTCCATCAGACTGATTGGTATTAATTAAAGAAAGAAAACCAGCCAACCTAGTGCTTCAGTGCACCATTTTACCTCACTCGGTATATATAGGCGAAGAGCCTCAAATTCTGAGGGATCATCTTGCCCCTCGAAAAAGCGAGTGGAATACACGTTTCCGTTCTGAGATTGAAGGTAGTACGTCCCGGCATCTGAGAGATCTGGCTGTCCGATGAGGGGCAGTAAGGAAAGCATCTTCCTCTATAGCATGTGCATGTACGTACCATAGCCTCAGCTGAGAGATTGGCTAACAGGGATTCCATAGTTATCTTCTCCACCGCAGGTTCTACAAAGTATAGTTTCCCGTCAGGTCCACGAGTAACCGCATCAGCCCGGCTTTTCTCATATGATTCGTTGAGAGCAGCCATGAGAAGGAACATCAACGACAGACCCATTTGGAGTGGCAGCCACAGATATCAGTCTCGAGCCCATTTCAGAGATCAGGAAATCGTTTGACCATTCTCGGGCAGAGGCTTTGAGGTCTGCTCAGTTCTGTATCAGCAGTATAAACTTTAGAAGGCACACGTTTTACTCTTTATAACGATAGGCCTAGATATTTTTACCGATCTAGCAAACTCCAAGGCAGTTGGGGGTGTTTCGAGTACCTCGATGTGGTTCCCGTTCAAATCTAAGAAAAAACGCACATGCAGGTCATTATAGTAGTTTGATGAGCAATGATAACACCGACTATACCATGGTATTCTCGAGAAAGCCACTCTAAAGATGGTGAGCAAGTCATAACTTCAAAGGAAGAGCCTGTAAGAGCGCTAATGATTAGATCAACTTATATCCGAACGACTCGCATGTAGCTCGAATTCGAACTAAATATT